TGATGCAGAACTGGTTGTCAAATTTAGGATTTCGGCAGAATACCCTAATCCTAAAAAATTCTAGAACGCGCGTCATTTGCGCTGCTAATTGTTGATTAGTTTGGGTAGTATTCTGAATAAGGGGCTGAAAGATTTCCCCCATAGTTTGAGACATCATTTGGACCATTTGAAGGTTACTCTCATCCATTTGTTGTCTTAAGTATGATGCAGAACTGGTTGTCAAATTTGGCATTTGGGCAGAATACCCTAATCCTAAAGTTTGACTATTTCGGCCCATATTTTCCTAGAGCCTGATCCATGTAATGGCGAAGTCATTACAGGATCTGTATATAATGGAGGAGCATTTTGCAAGTTTTCCATCATCGAAGTTGGTATTCCATAGGATGGGTCTCGAGGCAAGGGTATTGCAAATCCAGGAGGAGGGACACTTCTGAATGCTGAAGCCCCTATTAGTGGTAGAGCCTGTGGAGGACCCCTTGTCCCAATATAAGTCAGAATGAGTTGTGTATGGGCAATCGAATGTGTAGGTATCAAACTTTCCATAGATGGTATTGCTTTAGAGACAGGCACTAAGACCGTTGGTTCTCCTATCGAAAATCCTATGGGTTGTTCTACATTGTTACAAGGCGTATTCTGAGGAATATCTGGTTGGTTAGAATTTTCCGCCATTCTCCTCCTATATCTTCTCCTTGTTCTATCTTCGTTAGCGGTGGCTACTTTACCACTTCTTAATAACATGCAACAAAGTTTTCAAAGAGAAAGTTGATCGCATAACTAATAAATTTTCAATAATTTTGAAGCAAGTTTTATGATCACTTAACACTGTCCCACTGGGCGTGTTAATTTGTTCGCCGTGAAAATTGGTGAACAATCGCTGGTCTTCCAAATCGAAAAATATTTGTTTTACTTGCAAGATTGACCATACAAATCCTAAGACATGTGCTAATTGATCTTAAACAAAGTTTAGAAAAACAATGAACACTTCGACAAAGGTCATGATAAAATAACTTGTTTCAAATATAAATGGAATTGAACACGAAGGATTAAAGTCGAAAGACTGGTAAATAATATAAAAAGTAACTTGCATAAATAAAATATAAATTCTTAATGAAAAAGACTTATTGAATTATATTGAAATGTAAAAATGGTGTTACGTCAACGTACATTCTCACAAACTTGTTTCTCTACACGCGGGTACTTGGAGTATCTTGAGGAATTTTTACACAATTGAACACCCACAAATCCTAACACTAAGAGCTACTATTTATACTAATCGAAAATAACTTCCATCAACGGCTAGCAAACTAGATTGAGACAAGTGGCGTTCTGCATGTCTTCGATTCCTAGAAGCGCTCCACATGTCTTCTTTGAGAAAATGGATAAGAACGAATTTTCCCTCCTTTATTTGAATTCAAATCTTCCTATCGAAATGCCTTTAGCATCGCCTATGTTGAATCAAATTTTTCAATTGCTAAGAAATATTTCTAAGTCCATAAAATAGTTCCTCCTGGCAAAGAGACGCCTTCGACTCACATTCCAAAGATATGGTTCTGGTCGAAGTCATCTGATTTTTCAAAAACTCTATTACTTTCTTTTCATCCAATTCAGGCGTCGAAATTTAGAACCAACAGTCATATAATCCAATCATCCTCTTCGAGGCCTGGTCCTATATTGTGCATGAATTTCGATCATAAATCACATAACAATTTAAATCATATGTTAGTTTATGAATTGAAATCAGATTGCATTACAAATCAGAAACAAATAACACATCTTTTAACGTAAGGGAACTAGATAAATTTAGATCACTTATATTTTCAATTAAGGCTGAAATCCTTGTTGGCGTAGTGACGTATAAAAGTTTATCTAATTTTCTAATTTTCTTCAATATTGAGGTCAAAGGAGTCATGTGGTGTAAAACACCAATATCAAGTATCCAATTGAAACAATATTCAAGTTTACTACTAGTCACGTTTTCATGTGGGTTTGTGTGATTTTTGGCACAAACTCCATGCAAATGTTTATACTTTTGGATATTCTTTTATCTCAACAGGCTGAGCAAAATTTGCTACCTGTTGTCCTCTTGATTTTTTACGTTCTCGCCTGTAAGTTCTTCGTGATTTCTAACTTGCTAGATATTCAACAATCTCAAAGCATTTTGCCTTGACATGTCCATTTATCCCACAATGATCACACTTTAATCTTGAATGATATTTCTTTCCTCTCTTCCTATCTACACCTGAGTAAAATGCAGATGCATCTTCCACATTAGAATCTCTTTCCTTATCTATTGCAAAATGGGATTCTTCTCTTTACATTTGATTAAAGACATGCTTAAAAAAGGGTAGTGGATCAGTATTAAGTATGATTGCTTTGATATGAGAGTATTGTTCATTATTAAAGCCTCCAAGAAAAAGATAAACTCCCTGTTCTTCTTTTGTCTGTCTCAATAGTTTAGCAGTTCTGCAATTGCATTCAGGTAGGGTTTGCAATTCACTTAATTTATCAACAAGACTTTTGAATGGATTCGTGGTGCATTAGTCTGAGCAAAACGTTCTTCAAGATCTACCCACACATATCGAGCCGTTGAAGCATGTGAGATGCTTCTGTGCATATTTGGTTTTGTCGCATTAATTAACCAAGCTGTCACCATTGAATCCACCTTCTCCGAGTCATAGTACACTTCAAATTGACTTGATGGTTTCTTGATGCTTTCCTCAATGAAACTCGGTTTCGTCTTTGAACGCAAAACTGTCTTGATCGATCTTGCCCATGTGTGGTAATTTTCTTCATTCCAGAATTATTAGAGTTGTTGAGATGATAAGTTTGTGTATTCTTTGTTGTGATCTTTGTTTCAGGTTTAGATGTATTTTTTCTCCAATTTTTCTTTCGAATCGGACCGTACTCAAATGTCATAATAGAAAGTTAACTTGAAAATATGTTGTATTCTTATGGTTCTCAATGATACATGACATGCCTTTATATATAGGCTGATGATCTATTTTTCAGAGTTTGAAAATAGGATCAACTCTAACAAATCCTAACAAACGAGTAACAATCATAACAAACCCTAACAAACTAATAGCAAACTATTAAATTTAACTCTAATACTAAGTCACATTTAATCTAACATGGAGTGGTCATAGTGATGCAAAATAATAAGTGACAATACTTGGTACAATTTGAAGGGCTGATGGACAGTGGGAGTCAGACATCTTCAAATATGGTGGTGGTATGGTTCGTTTGTGAGTAGAAAGTTTAGAAGGCTAGGAATGAAAATATCTTTAAAAAAAATTATAATCACAAGAATGGTTGAAGAGGCAAAAAAAATTTATCTTGGAAATATCTGCGGTTTAAATCAAATAGGATTGGCGCTAACATCTCTCAGTGGTTCAAATATTCAAGGGTGTGCCTTGATATTTCGGACCATTGATTATGGGTGCTGCAGTAGAGCGGTAAATTGTTTTGTCGATTATGAGGGGTTGTGTTGTCTGTGGCAGTCATGTCACCGACTTACTTTGAATCCATTATCATGTAGTGTCGTTTTTTTCCCAGTGTGGTCTGAGTGGTTTTGCTAGCAGTTTATTTAGAGTTTAGGTAGGGGTAACCATTGAGTTGTATGTGCACTCTGGCATTGTGTGGTCGAGAGTGATGCATTTCAACTATGTGGCCCGAGTGGTTTTGCTAGCAGTTTATTTAGAGTTTGGATAGAGGCAGCCATTGAGTTGTATGTGCACTCTAGCATTTGTGTGGCCGAGAGTGATGCAGTTTAGCTATATGGCCCGAGTGGTTATGCTAGTAGTTTATTTAGAGTTTGGGTAGGGGCAACTATTGAGTTGTATGTGCACTCTGACATTTTGTGTGGTCCAGAGTGATGCAGCTCATCTGTGTGGCCCAAGTGGTTCTAACGATTTATTTAGAGTTTGGATATGGGCAACTATTGAGTTGTATTATATGTGCAGCATTTTGTTGTCGAGTTGAGAATGATACAGTTAAGATATGTGATCCGAGTGGTTCTGCTAACTATTTATTTAAAGTTTGGGTAGGAGTAGGCATTGAGTTGTATATGCACCCTAACATTTTGTGATTGAAAATGGTGCAGTTCATATATGTTCAACTCGATTTTGTGATTTTGTGATTGAGAATAGTGCAGTTCATATATGTTCAACTCGAATATTAGCTAATGGAGGTGTACTATCATGTTTATCGAATTACAGAACTTACATGAATGTTAATCTTTTTTTTTAGTTGGTATAGGTCAGCTTGTTTTAGGCATTGAGTTGTATTTTGTGATTGAGAATGGTGCAGTTCATATATGTTCAATTCAATTTTGTAATTGAGAATGGTGCAGTTCATTTATGTTCAACTCAAATATTAGCTAATGGAGGTGTACTATCATATTTATCGATTTATCGAATATACAAGAAAGTTAATCTTTTTAGTTGGTATAGGTCGGCTTGTTTTAGGCGTGCTTATACCTGTAGTGTTAGCTGTAGTATACTGAAATATTGTGTGGCATGACTTATGCCTAATTAGTTTTAATATATTAATTCCTCTGATCTTTTCAAAGAAAAAATGTTAATCAACAAACATTTAATTATTATAATTTACAAAGCTAAGGTAAAGAAGAATAGAACAAATCTAACCTAATTGAAGTATTCAAAATCAAATTCTCCTAAAATTTAAAAAACCCATTTCAATTTGCAACATCATCATACTACCTATAGTGGCAAAATTTTGATGGATCAATTAAAGGCTATGATTCAACAAAAAGTAACAAATAAAAAATCACCCGCACATCCCCAACAGAATCAAATTCAAAATCTTCATTCAGAGCTACCCAGAATTGAACACATAGACTAAGAACCAAAACTAGATTACCCAATTGCAAAAATCAAAGCTTTATAAAAGTTAAATATACATATATCTAACTGGATCGTTAACCTTGTACAATCATCCAAACAAAAACTAAAAAAAAACATGAATTAGGAGAGAGAAAATCATGAAGCCAAGGACATGACAGAGAGTCTACTTGGCGTTGGTTTGAAATTCAACCATCTAAGTGCTAACCGTTTCGGCGGTGGCATTAAAGCCCTTCTCAAAATCTCTTTGCTCCCAACGCGCTTCTTCATCTTTTCCCCTGGTACAACATACCCATGACGCGCACAACGAACCGAACCGGGCCGGTTCGAACACGTGCAACTCGGTCTGAACCGTTGAGACATGGACAAGTAACCCTCGTTCTTGTTTTGTCCGGAAACCGACATCTTTGGCGGAAGTTGCGAACTTTCTTTCGTTTGTTGATTAAGGTTGGTGTCTTGGTGTTGGGGTTGGTGTTGCATATCTTCGAAGAAAACTATGTGGTTATGTTTTTTGAGGTTTTGAGATTTTTATATGAAAGAAAGGTTAATTGTTTTTGGGTTCTTTCTTTGAATGATTGACCAAATTGAAGACTTAGTAATAGTAAAGGACTAATTTTTTGGTCAATTTTATAGTGCTAGAAAGTAGAAACACAAATTTGAAATTCGAACGTTTGAGAATTGATTCCTTTTGGAGGAGTAATAAATTTTTTATTTGGAGAATCTTGTTTGTCACGTTTTGGAGGTGGAGTTGGTGAGAAGAGAAGAACGTTCGGAATGGGTCATGAAGCCCACTTGGCATTGATGGAGCCACATGAATGTTTTATGTGTTTGATTTGATTTGAATTTTTTATTAAAATGGAGGATAATTAGCTTCCACATGTTATACCTATCTTTTTTGTTATCATAGATATGTTTTTGTTCACAAAATGCTGTATACAGCTAAATCCCATCTTAAAAGGTTAGTTGGCAAATTTGTTAGTTGGGCACATTGAGTCATGCTTGGGAAAACTAAGACCTTAGTCTTTATTCTCTTTGGATCTTATCATCCAATGATCCAACCCATTGCCACCACCTACTCTCTCATTTCATCATCATGATTGTTCATCAATAATAACAATAATAATAATAATAATAATAAAACTTTAATTATAATTTTGATTCCTATTTTAATTTAATTCATTTATAATTAATCTATTTATTTTAAATTTAAATAATTTTAATTTTTCAATAATATTTTTACACTCAAATGGTCAATGTGTTCATTTTTAACGTTGTTGTATTGATCTATCATGTTTCACAAGTATTTTCATACGATGACATGTTAGTTACACATTATTAAAAAATTATTTATGTTTTTACTAAATATTATTTGGAAAAACTTTTCTAAAGCTAGTCAAATGAGGTCATAATTGTCCTGTCTGGAAGGAGGTATGTTAAAAAAGAATAATGACCACCATTGTTGGTGGTCCACGATTTTTAAGTGTTTTAGTCCTTTTTTGTGTTATTCATCTATCAGATGCCCCCCTTTCTTGTTAGGCCTTAAGGACCTTTTATATAGCTAGTTTTTTTCCCCTTTATCTAGCTACTGAAGAGGCGTGGTTAATAGGTTTTAGTAACCATTAACCACCTGTAACTGGTCCAACCCTTTAGCCTTTCTATAACGGATTCGTCAACTGGAATGCAATAAAGACTCCGACTTGGACGGTCATTCAGAACCTGGTAAATTGAGTTCGGGATATTGAACTTGCTACATGGCTTCATAATAGTTCTCCGATCTTATAAAATCTCCAGGATGTACACCGGCCATATCAAAATTCGATAAGCATACTCGACTTATGAATTTCAGTATGTACATAAGCCCCCCAATCATGAAGCCCCAACGGGATGAAATATTCAGACAAAGAATCCCTAAATTCTTTCCTCTTGAATGGGTTGTACTTCCATCCGGTTTGGTTTACAGGAAAGCCAATCGTGACTCTAGTTCAACAGGGTTTTCAAATTGTTTATGGACATAGAGAAGTTGCAAAGTCCCAATGAGATCTTAGCCAGTTGGCGTTGTAGAACTCGGTGGGTTATAGAGGAGTCAAAGAGCCCCAGTAGGATCTCGGTCAATTGCAGTTACTTTTAGCTATGTCGATGCTAGCCCATGCGGGTTTTCGATTAACCAAATTCTTATATATATATATATATATATATATATATATATATATATATATATATATATATATATATATATATATATATATATATATATATATATATATATATATATATATATATATATATATATATATATATATATATATATATATATATATATATATATATATATATATATATATATATATATATATATATATATATATATATATATATATATATATATATATATATATATATATATATATATATATATATATATATATATATATAGGAGTCAAAGAGCTCCAGTAGGATCTCGGTCAGTTGAAGTTACTTTTAGCTATGTCGATGCTAGCCCATGCGGGTTTTCGATTAACCAAATTCTTATATATATATATATATATATATATATATATATATATATATATATATATATATATATATATATATATATATATATATATATATATATATATATATATATATATATATGTTGGCAAATCCCGCTTAAATTTTGTTTCATTCTTTAGAGAACCCTTGTGTGTCGGGATCCGATCCTTGGAGAATCGTTGATGTGACTAAAGTCATAGTTCTTTCTCATTTTACTCATAATTATTTTTTCATTAGTCATCCTTTGAGGATTCATTTTGTAATGTTTGGACGCTTTCCAGATCCTTTGATAGTAATACTTGATGCCTCTGCGATTGTTTTAGTTGTGACCATGTTAGTCCAGTTATGTAGCCCTAACATGTTTTATCTCTTTGATAACATTCAATTTGTTTGACTAGAAATAGAACGCTCGACTCCAAGCACGTCTTAGTTTATCTCTAACTGAGGTTTGTACCATATAGGTTTAACGCCCTAGTGTACCCGACCTTACTTTTTGTCGAGTATCATCATTTTTTAGCACAAACTAGCTAACCTTGAGTGGATCATGTCGCATATATGTGTTTGGTGGGGAATAAGTTAACCAGACTGCTTTAAAGTCATAATACTTGATCGATTTGCTAGAGGTTCTTATTTACTTGGACTTTTGATTTGGTCAAAGGTTATTAGCATGACTCGACAAAACGTTTATCATTTACATGGCTGATTATTTAAGGTTAGAGGTTTTATGAACTTAATCCGGCCAGAGGTTTAACATTTACATGGATGATTGCTTTAGGTCAGAGGTTTTATTTAACTTAACCCAACCAGAGGTTTAACATTTATGTGGCCAATTGCTTTAGGTTAGAGGTTTTGTTTAACTTAACCCGACCAGAGGTTAACATTTACGTGCCGATTGTTTTTGGTTAGAGGTTTTATTTAACTTAACTCGACCATAAGTTTAACATTTACGTGGTCGATTGCTTTAGGTCAGAGGTTTTATTTAGCTTAACCCGACCAAAGGTTTAACACTTACCTGACCGGCGTGCCCCCCTGTGAAGGTCTTCGTTATTCTCGGCCCCTACATTCATACATGACAACGGTGCATAAAACAACAAGGATAGTTCACATATCAAGCATATTTCATCAACATAATATATAACATATAAATTATTATGCAATGTGTATTTCCTCTACTCCCATGGATGTGGTACCATCCTACAACCCTAGGATAAAATCCTACAATGTTGGATATCATAGTTATGTTACTGAGTGATTCTCAACATTGGACCAAAGTCCTACAACATTGGACTGAAGTCTTAAGCTATTCTCCAATATACATGATGCTACAAACACATGGAAACAATCACCATCTGAACCTCCTACTCCCATTATGAATTATCAATCAAAACACTGGATCAAAGTCTTTCAAAATTGGACCGAAGTTCTGCAACACTGGACCATAGTCCTACAACACAGGTTCCTCTCTGAACCTGAAACTTAATATAACTCAACAATTTTCATCATAACTCAGCATAATAATCAAAATATATTATTTTCTCATAAATACTCATCAACAACATCAAAACTGCATCGAAAATCATGTTTTCCTGCTAGTCATACCTCATATTCGAATAATCATGTAAAACATCAAACGAAGTCGAAATCAAGAAAATGAATATGTTCCGAAAAGCTTAGAGAGTCTATTTAATAATATAATTTTTATTTTTGAACTTAATACACTGATCGGTTCAGATTAATCAAACAATAAGAACAGGTACTCGCATCGGGCAGAATGTTTCTCATGACTTCAAAATGGCGCAAAAAATTATATACTTATGAGAAAATAATGAAAATTTACAGTTGAAAATATCATTAAACCCTCTTTCCAACTCACTTAACCGTATCTCAAAAGGAGTTACAAAACTCTAGTTCTATTCATTTCAATTTAGCCATACCGCAAATATTTCTTGCATAAACTCTAAGAGTATGACTTCAAAATAGCACAAAATATTATATACTCATGATAAATTTATGAAACTCTCCAGTTTGGAGAATCATTGAATTATCTTTCTAACACAACTAACGACATCAAAGAATTATGAAACTCAAGTTATACCTAAAATAAGACGATAAATCCCCTTCTATGTCTACTTGTGATTTTATGCATTTTCTCCCCATTAAATAGATTCAAAACTCATATGTTTTGTCTATTTGAGATTCACCGCCCTAAAAACATACAGACAAACATTGGTTTGTGTCACGTTTGAATCTCAACTCATAATCACTTAATCCTACCTAATCACAAGGCAAGTGATAACTCAACTAAGCTAATTCGCCTAACTCTAAAAATACATCCGAGTCATCAAAACTCAACTCTAAGGGCATATACCTTCAACTCCAACTCTAAATTTATCAAAGGAATTTAAGCAAATAAAAATATGACTCTGATCATGACGGTTGGTCAGAATCTGTGTCACGACGAGAATTGGATATCAAGCTATTGATTAACCTGAATCACAAATCATTTTTCACCACCGATCTTTAATTTATCTGAGGGAAGGGAAAAAGAATGAATAACCCATAAACATGCAATGCAAAAACAAAGAAAAAGAGAATCTAAGGTTCAGGGGTTGGTTATACCTAGGGAAGATGTTAACATCCTTAGTATCTGTAGTACTCTACAAGAACCTCTTATTTCATTGTGTTATTTGTTATTTTGTCTGCTAAGGGTGAAAAGGAAAAAGGGAAACCAAATGCGTTATTTCTAAGTATGCTCGCCAAGACATCGCATCTCATACCTAAGTATCCTGACGAGAATGGAATTAGAGCATTTGTAGTTCCCTTCAATAAGGGTGATGGACTCTTGACTATGGAAAGGTTCCAGGGGAGAGAGATAACTGTCTATGGAAGAACACCTACATAGAGTTAAGAAATTCTAAACCTAAAGCTAGGTTGAAAGGTAGGTAAGT